TTATGGAGACCTCCTAAAAGGTACCCCTAATTTTGGGAAACCCCATATATGAGCCATAGTCTAAACTCCTAGTATCCTCCTTAATCACCTCTACAATACTCCCCTCTAGAAACCCCTATATAACCCCCTTTAAGGAGTTTAGACAGTAGCTCATATATGGGTATAATATGGTAATTTCCCAAAATAGGAGAACCCCAATATAGACCCCCAAATACTATAGTCCTTATTATGGAGACCTCCTAAAAGGTACCTCTAATTTTGGGAAACCCCATATGAGCTATAGTCTAAACTCCTAGTATCCCCCTAAATAAGCCCTATAACAGTCCCCTGTATAATCCCCTATGGCCCTATGTAATCCCCCTTTAAGGAGTTTAGACTATGGTTCATATATGTTAGACTATGGTTCATATATGTATACAACCTCTGGCCTTGTGGGTTACGGCTCGGGCGGTGCCGACGCTTCGGCTTGCCAGCGCCCGCTGGGGCAGTGGAGGCTGCCTTGACAGGTGGTGGCTGGGCAGACAAGTTGTAGGGTTTAGAGTTTAGGGTTTTAGGGTTTAGGGTTCAAGGGTTTTAGGGTTTCAGGTTTTAGGGTTTAAGGTTTTTGGGTTTTAGGGTTTAGGGCTTTAGGGTCTAGGTCTTCGAGGTCTTTGAGGGTTTAGTAGTTCAGGGTTTCAAGGTGAAGGATTTTGGGTTCAGGGGAAAATTGCAAACGACTAAAATGGAAAATTAAGTGGGAGCTGAGGGCTTCAGGTTATCTGGATTGTTAGTAAAAGGGAATGCAGGCTTTTGCGTGTTTATAACTCCAGTTGTTCCCTATCTATATTCTTAATTCTCTTCTGGAGATTTGAGGCTTTCTGACAAACGGACCCTTAATGATATGTAGGGGGCCCCATGAGGGATTATGCGGTGTTCTTTTTGAAAAATACACCCTTTGGATTTCCTTGTGCATCGCTTAAGGGCAAGCAGATATGTGAAAAAGTACTGTTGAGGGAAGAACATTCACGTTTCCACTATGAGGCCCGCGTACGGTGTACTCCTCCTGGAGAGATTCTCTCCATCATCCAAACGCGAGCTGGACAAGCTTAGTCTAGTGATGATGATAAAATAGAGCGACCATGTACAGTAAGGGGTCTGGTGAACTCCATTGATCCCGATAGTAGTCCCTGCATAGCCACCCTGATGACTCCTGGAACTGTCTAATTACAACCTAAGCCTCAAACAACTTAGTAGACCTCAATTTCTTTTCATTCCTAATCCGTAAACCCAAACAATATGTTAAGTTGCCATTTTCCCCACTGTGCACACCCTAAGCAAGACAATAGTTCAGAATTTGTGTCTCATTGCCCAAACTTTACGCCTGAAATGACTGTCAGCGTTTCCTTTTTCTAGTTCCTTTTGCGGTAGGATATTGAAGAAATCCCTACGTAACAATCTTTTTAAACAAGGGATTAAAGGACTTACGTAAGACTCCTGGGGTATGCATGAGGGTAAGGTCCCAGTCTTCTGCACGGGAACAGCACGCAGCCAGGTTGAGCTACCAAGCTGCACCTGCTTTTGGAGCTCTGACTTGTCAAAGGCTGGAGGTAACAACCCTTAGTATGGGCCCTTAGCCTTTTTGGGGTTGGTTCTGGGAGTGCTCTGGGGGCCGTTAAGGGTATAGAATGGTTATAGAGGGACCCGAGGATTGAGGGCCTATACTAGAAGCCCATGGTTTGACCCTTAGAACTTGAGGGCTTAGGTTTAGGGGCTTAGCGTATAGAATGGAGTTTGGATGTTATTGCAGCCTAGAAGGGCTAGGCGCTTCCAGCGTCTCGTGGTTTAGGACCCTGAGGGTCCAAGGACCCAAATAATAGGGCCGTACGGCCCAAATACCATTAATGTTATAGTATTGTGGGCCCTAAAAACCCTATTGTTTGGGTCCTTGGACCCTTAGGGGGATGTAGGTTTTTGCCTGACTTGACAATGGTGTGAAAGGTGTGTTTCGATGGAGCTTATGCTCCTTCTACGCACTACTAGAACTGCTTCCTGTGGACTAATTTCAAAAACATGTTCCTTGTCATGCGAACTTCCGAGAACTCCCTCACGCCCAACCCCCTAACAACTCATCAGCCCTGTTGCTGTTACCTTTGGACTGGTTAGTACTGAAGAACTTGATGTTGGCATCATGCCTTCAAGGGGTGCAGTACGCACATCTTCGGTGCTCACAACAAACCGGCGAAAGAAGAGACATGTCTTGACCCTAGGTGGCTCTCGGGTTCGTTTGCTGTTCATGAAAACAGACATAAGAAGCTATTGGGTACATCAAACCTAAACCCAAAACCCCCATGGTTTCAAAGTTTAGGGGTTGAAAAGCATGCTGTCGGACTTGCGTGTTTTGGCTGATGGCTTCCGGTCAAAGACACCGCAGCCAGAAACCAACGTCAATGACCCCTAAGGGTTTAGGGTTTAGGGTGTAGATCGTGAAATCCAGATGACTCCAAATCCTCGGCCCCAAACAACCAAAAACAACCAAAAATAACCTATGCAAAGCCGTTACTCCCTAAACCCATGTCTTGCCCATTACTCCCTGAACCCATGTCTTGCCACTGGTTGGCAAGGCCTGAAAGGATGGATCCACTCAGTAACAGTCCAGAATGATACAATCGCCTTCAATGTTCTTTTCCAGTCCCTATATATATATATACTTATAATATCCACATTCCGATATAACCCCTATACAACCCCGGCTTCCATTCCATCTTCCATTATCTTTCCCATTTCATTCGCCACCATTAAAGTAACAACCCTCCAAACCCTCAACCCTAAACCCTAAACCCTACACACTAAACCCTAAACCCTAAACCCTAAACCCTAAACCGTAAGTGTCTCACAAACTCCGAGCAGGCCTCCGTCTCGACGAGGGGTACAGGTGCAACCTGATTCGGAGGAATCTTCAGCCTAGACCTTCCAGATACCTTTACAGGAGGGCCATGCTGTCCGCAACTGTGGGTAACTTAAGCTGAATAAAGGGTAGTTGGAGGGCCTTGCTCATCAATTGAACAGTTATTGAACATGAACAAACGCGTTCTTGTTGTAAGGTAGAGGCAGCGTCAATTCCCAGATAGAAATACAGAGTTGCTCTAGCAACAGGGCAACAAAGGCTGGCTCCACACTAGGAGCCAGAACTTCAGAATGCTGCTTTACATGGAGAGCCGGGCTATCCAGATTTCAAGCTGCTGTTTCCTTTCAATTTTCTGGGTGCTTGACGATCTCATTGTTGAGAACTAGCTATGAAGCTAGGCGTCTTCGATATATGCTACGATGGGAGCTTTTCGACAAGCATTGTGCACAAAAGTCGCGGACGTATGGGACAATATGATACCTAGGTTTAGCTAGGAAGAAATGAAAAGCAAAAGCATGAACAACGAGTACCCCTGTCAAGGCATCTAGAACACTCCAATCTAGTTGGAGTTCATGCGATTTGGCTACTATACCTACCTGTTCCCGAAATTCTACATAGGCCTGGAGCAATTGTAAAGTGGGTACATGTCCGTCTAAGTGCCTCTAAGAATACCTCTCCACCCTCACTATTGAGGTCTGGATGGCCCTGGGATCTACAGATGGCCTTTCCATCATGTTGCTCGCTGCAAGGTCTTCAGAAAGCTGGTAGCTGGCTAGGCGCAGAAAATGTGTTCCGTTCTGCGGGTCGAAAGGGTCCACGCTGTTGGCACATACGAGTACCCTCTTCAAATGTTCGGGCAGGATTTCGGGTTTAGGCTTTCAGTAAACCTTGGAACTCTCTACTTTGTGGATTTCCATCTTGGGACATAGGGCTTATAGGGATTCAGCGGTCCTGGAGCTTTCAATCTGAATTTGCATTGATGAGCACTTAGCAGTTTCCGTCACTTAGCTTGGACTAACCGAGTCAGAATGTAGGTTCTCAGCTCTTATGTCTCTTCTGACCATCAACTTGCCAGATTCATATGGGCTATAGTCTAACCCCTATGCCTCTCTCTTATATAACCCCCTTTTAGGGAGGTTTGAGTATAGCTCATATGAATATTCCCACTCGTGAATCTGTAGCCAAGCCACTGGTCGCAGACACTGCTCCACAACCAGATCATCTGAGCTTAAGAAGCCTGGCGCCTGGTCGAAGTGACTCTGCTCCAGGTCTGCAGGATGTTCGCTCCCCAATTGTGGTGTTCCGAGCAGCGGATCTTCCATGATATCAAGCCTTGGTGACAGGACCTAGAAGAGTACGAGGAGGCTCAGTGTCTGACTTGGCCAACTAGAATGTGTTGGGGCAGCGGCGCTACAACAAAAGTCCGAGAATTACCCATGGCTGGCTGAGGTACAAAGGGCTTAGCATAGTCATCACATGGTAGCCTGCTGGATTATCGGGGCAACAAGCTGTCCACGAGCGGAAGAGTGACTGGAATTCGGACAAGCACACACTGCACAACAACGACGTGGGTTACTGAAAAGCTCATCGACTCACCAGCGCTGCAATTCTCCATATCCGACGTTTCTGAATGCGAAGAGCTTGTTGTCGCCGGCGACTGGGTTGTGGCGTCAGTTCCCTGATTGCTACCTGCTTCCAATGCTGGACTGGTTGTGACTGAGGCCTGCTGGAAGAGTGTTACGGCTGGCCAGATGGACAAAGATGGTGCCTCCTTGCCGTCTCCAGGACACGTGTCTTCCATGTTCACAGTGCTGGGACTTGATAGCCGTTGCTTTGGCCCATCTATGTTATATGGCTCACATGTAGCTTGACTATCTTCTTCCGAGGTGTAGGACAGATTTATTGGCGCGTCGTCATGCGCATCGACCAAATTGTTCTTCACGCTCTGGTTGTTAGTGCATGTAGAAGCCATATTAGCCTCAGAAAGTACCGAACAGCGCACCGCTGCAGGACAGGTCTTTTCAAGGACTTCTTCGTCATCTTCGGGAACCCAGACATGGTCCACCGCCTGCGCTGCCAGAGGAAGCTGCGCTGATGCGAAGTCCTTAGCATGCCAGCTTGCGGAATCATCATGTCTGTATAAACGTCTACCTCAGCGTTAATCTCCCTGTAGATTACCTCTGCCCTGTTATCCCTACCAATATCTCTACGCACTTGATCATCTTGTCTGCCAACCTGAAGCTTGGAGGAGAGAGGTAAATCCACACTTGGACCCATATGGGGCTCTTCCACGATTGGTTACCTGATGCTTTTGGCAAAGTCACAACAGGAAGCAAATGCTTTTGGCAAAGTCACAACAGGAAGCAAATGCCCTCGACCTCATCATGGACAAGCCAAAAACAGTAATAACCCAGGATGCCGGAACGATCTGCTTGGAGGGTCAGGGGGACTTAGCATAGGAGGGTCGGGTACGTTCTAGATCCTCCTAGGGGTTGAGGCACATGATTAACAAAGCTACGGCCGATGACTATGTGTATTACTGTGGGTCCGCCCACAACCACCGGAAGAACCCGACTTGGAGGAAGCTTCCACATCCCGTGCTCCGTATTACATGCTAGACTGGACTCTCCCTTGGAGCTCTTGACGGAGGAGCTGCAGGGGTGGAAGCCTAATTCCAGAAAAGTGCGGTGGTTGGGTGATTGCAGAGCCTCGTCAAGCTAAAGCGGCTAAGGGTCCTCTTCCTTCCATGCGGGACAAGTGGGTGGCTGATCTTTCTCCTGGGCTTCCTTGCGCAATGGCTCATGCAATATGAGGCTATAGGTGGAGCTTTCATGAAAGTTCTACTTTTGGGTCGTGTAGGCTGGTCAACTTGTGGTGTTGTTCTGTCTGTCCATAAAAACGTGGGTTTCCAATATCTGGGATAAATGCGTAGCGGGCCAGCGGAAAGTAAGCACCATGGAGCCCTCCACTTCAAAAAGCCAACGCTCCACAACATAAGCGGCTGCAATGCCATTCCCTTGTGCAATCTTGAATTCTTTGCACCTGGGGTTTGTTTCAAATCATGGTTTCAGAACCTGACGTTAAGCCAGTTTAAGCCAGTTGGGGACTTTTCTATATCAATTCGAATAGGGTCCGGGAATGCCACCAGGAAGCTTCCACCAAGACGTGGCTGGAGCTTCTGCAGTGCTCTACCACATCATCTCCATCTTCTTCCTCAGCACATCTTCGTATGGCTTCCCTTGCTGCAGCCCACCCCCCCCCCCGCTACATCACCCACCTTTGGCCTCCCCTCAAATCATTTTTGTTTCACGTTAATCAAGGAGGAACGGATGGAGGGGGGCTAGGGATCCATAGTTGTTTTGAGGCTGCCTGAAGAAGCAGCATGGACAGACACCAGAATTTACTCCTACAGGAGCAAATTTGTTCTGTCTTACCCTGCACTCTGCAGGACGCAGGGATGTCCAAAAGGCAGATTTCGATCAGTAGCATGGTGAGATTCGGCACTCGAAAAAAGACAGATCCTACCTCATACGTTTACGGCGCGGGGTGACTGAATTGCAGGAAACGCGTGTGCAGCAAAAGCCAGCTGAGGCCAGCACGTAGAAGAAGTCTTCCACACCTGGTCTTGCTGGTGGTTAGTAAGGAATAAGGGCACGCAATCTGTAGATCATCCCTATACAATATGTTCCTTGCTTCCTACTAAGTCCTACTACCTACCACTACCTCGTTGCAGTGCAAGGTGTCAGTGCTTTAGCCTCGTGTCAAGTAACTCAGCTATCGAGCTTTTAGCCGTGCATAGGTTTCTGCTTCCATGCCTCCAACCGCCGCAGGTAATAATAATAGCAATAATAATCATAGTAATATCAATAATAGTAAAAATAGTAATAGTAATAGTAATAGTACTAGTATTAATACTAATAATTTCCATTTTCTTTTCCATTTTCCCAATATAACCCCAATATACCCTAATATAACCCCTATTATAAACCCTACCATCCCTCATAATAGTAATAATAAGAGTAATAATAAGAGTAATAACAATAATAGTAATAACACTAATAGTAACAATAAGTATAATACCCTAAACCCTAAACCCTATATAACAGTAATAGTAATAGTACTAATACTAATAAAAATCCTTCAGACCCAAGCTCGCCTACAAGGAAGAAAGTTTAGTCTACTCGTATCGGGCGCGTTGGACGGCCCATATGAGCCATAGTCTAAACTCCTAGTATCCCCCTTAATAAGCCCTATCCCCCCGATATAATCCCCTATATATATCCCTCTTTAAGGAGTTTAGACTATAGCTCATATGATCCCCCCACCCCGCAGAAGCATCCTTTTGAGAACCCCACTGGGGGTCTTTCCCAACCTCACCTGAGGTGTGAGAGGATATCCCGACCCCCCACCACCCGCAAAAGCCTCCTTTTGAGAACCCTGCCATATGCATCCGAGGACAAGGTTTCACACCGGGGGTCTTGCCCGCCCTGAACTGAGGTGTGACAATATAACCTCACAACTGAGCTGGATTTGGAAGATCTGCAATGAAAGTCAGGGCGTGGGCGTTGCAAATGGACCTGGACAAACCGCCTGCAGCCTGGTTGACGTCTGGAAGTCTGGAAGTGGTTATGCAGTAGATGACGTACCGCCTCACACATGTGGCTGAGGCAGTGGCTGCTACTGCAAATTGAATGCTAGTTTGGGTCTCCTTTTTTCATACTAATGCTGCCAAGTGTCACGAAAGCGTGAGAAGAAGATGAGAAGGGAAAATCATGTCCTCCGTAATTGCCAGCTCCTCCTGCCAGAAAACCGGAGAAGCAGCAAGCGGGGCTGGTCTGAGGCCAAGCCCTAGCCCTTAAAGCCTTATATGATACTTGCCCTAAAAAGCGGGACCACAATACAGACCCCCAAATCTACTATAATTCTTAATTATGATGGGGGCCCCCAAGATGGTACCTCTAATTTTGGGACACCCTCATATAGCTGTAGGCACTGCATTCACGAAGATGGAGGGACGGAAGATTTGTGGGGAAGCAATGCTGGAACGGATGAGCAAATGCTAGCCTTTCCCTCCTTTGAGCCAGGTCCACGCTGGAAATGAAGGAAGGGAAAAGAAAATGGAAACAACTATCATGGGGTTACATACCTAGACCCTCCTCCTACCCTCTATTAGGGCCTAAGATGGCCTAAGTATCTACTAATTATTAGGGACCATATATCCCCAATTAAGCGTACAAGGTTGGTCCTGGTAAGGACTACTATAGGGATCCCTTCCTTCATTCCCGGCTCCCCTTGGAACCCTGTTTAGGCCGCGGGTTCAGGGTTAAGGCAGTTTAGCTTTTAGAGGTTTAGGGTTCATGGGTTTAGGGTTTGGTTATACCGTAAAGGCTCAAGAACCCCAAGCAGTAAATAATTCGAACCTCACATAGAAACCTGACATGGCCCAAGCAACAAAAGGGCATTTAGCCGTTAGCTATAGCCCTGTTTGAACACTAACCCTAAACCCTGAACCTAAAGCCTAAACCGCGCTGAAACGCTGCTTGTCTCCTCCTGAAATGGGGCCATCTGCATTGAAGTTGCCTACGCCCAGGAGCGCGCGCACAGCCGACTGGGATTGGTCTAAATGTCAACCATGTTAGGTACACATATCACGAAACACTATAAGATTATCTATCCTATCAGCGAAACTATAAGAGACCACAGGAGACTACCTGGTACAACTTGCAGTTTCCCTAGCTAGTAGCGTAGCAACCTCCCCTCCCCCCCATACAGTGAATATAAATTCTCGTACGCGATAAGCTCTCTATGGCTATATAGGGAAGTTTGCAAAAATTGAGGATGTTCACGAGCCCATATACTAAGGAATCATTCAGGATTGTTTCCATTTGTCTCAAATGTGAAGTTGCGCGTCTCTCCATTCATCACCTTGCAAGCATGGCATTTGCAGGACCACTCAATGAATGGCCTGCCTGTTTTGGGAGCTGGTAAACCCCTTTGTCAGAACACCTCTATCGATCTTATTGCCTACCGTGGCCTACCCTGCAGTTCCAACTACTCAGAGAATGTAAGATTAGTCCCCAATCCTACAATCTGTATCTCAGAAACCCTCTATATCGTTATATGTCCTGTCTATATATATATATGTAATACCTGTGCATGTGCATGTATATGCACATACACATCCCAATGTACCGTTGCACCCAGTACTGGGCCAGCCTCAGCTGCCTTTCGCGCGGCAGACCAGTGGCACGCTCGTAGAGATGGGCTTTGGGTTCAGGTTTGAGGGGTTAGAGTTCACGTTAACAACTCAAACTCATTCCAACATGTTTTAAGCAAAAGCAATACATGCCTCTGATTTGAACAGTGACGTAGACATCAATGCTCAGATTGCATCGAAACAGCTTACTTAAGTACTCGAGGCCCCTTGGGTCAGGCATGCTGGCAGACGAGCAGAATGTGACAGCAGTTGTAACAGCATAAAGAAAACCCATGCAAAAGCAATAGCAGCCAGTACGTTGTAATTCGGGCTTAGATGGGGCCGGACGAGGGTTGGGGTTTATGGTGCCCAGGCGTGCACCTGAACAGGGGCCAAAATGTCCACAGCATAGACGTGCAAACTAAACAAAGGACCCCCATGTACTTCCTTTTGGGGGTTTGCTACTGGAAGGATGATACTCTAGCACCCACGAAGGAACTGACCACATACTGTAGGAGGCTCTGGGTATACCCCTTGAGCAGTCACGCAATTGAGATTCTGAGGTTCAAGGGTTTAGGCCTGAGGTCATCTCTCAATGGTTTTGGGTACAGAAATGGGACCCTAATTTTTGAAACTACCACCCATGGCCCGCGAGCCAGCTATCATGTGTACTTCGTGGGCAATTCCCACCCCCCCGAATAATTAACGAATATTCCCCCTGATAGATAGTCACAACGGTGACAATGGTG